ATGTGAAGCTATGGAACTAGAATTTGTAACGGCTGCCTAGCAGAAGCAGCTATGAGATTCAAGACTCATCTCTTCCAGGGGTGGGGAACTTCCAGCCTGTGGGTCGTAAAAGGCTCTCATCATCATATAGCCTGCCCCTGCCAAAGCAACCACAGGTAGGACTCAACATTCAATAAATCTCTAGCACACTAATTCTTGAGGTGATAATGATGAATGATGGTATAAATATACAGAAGGCCCTTGGCAGAAAGAGATTCCCCACCTGATTTTAGTCAAACAGTAAGGAAATGTGGAAACTCATTTAAACATAAATGTTATATATATTAACACGTAATAAGATTACTATAGTTACTCTTCATTGTATTAATAGATATATATTTGGAAATTTATTTAAACTTTTCTCTGGTTTTACTGTGGTACATATGGATATAAACATTTGTGTGTAAATATCCATCTATATATCCCCATATATGTACATATATTTATATACCATACACAAAGGCACTTTGGATCTATCAATGATTTTTAATAGCACAAAGGGGTTCTGAGACCAAAAATTCAAGATCAAATGTGCTGCCTGAATCCCATGTTTCCAGAGCGTTCCACTGGGCAGGTAGATTATCCTCCCTGGCATGTAATAGTTGTCTCTTATTTCTGCATTCTTAAGTGTATTTTACTCACTCCGACACACAAACATAATTGATTATTTCACTTCATTTCATCCATGTATTATTATTTTGTGTTTTTTTTTTGTTCTTTTTAGTACAAAATCACAACATCATTTTGAGTTTTCTTATAATGGAAGTCATGGGTAGAAGGAGGAGAAAGACAAGAAAGTTGTCTGACTTCTTGAAAAGAATTCAATATCATACATGGATATTAATGTGAAATTATTTTAAAATAAAACCGACTTCAGAGGCAGGCCCTTTGGTGCCATGTGGCATGCCCACATCTCATATCAAAATGCTACTGTGCTTCTGATCCAGCACCCTGCTCATATGTCAGAGAAGCAGCAGATGATGGCTCAACGGCTTGAGTCCCTGCCAACCATGTGGGAGATCCAGGTGTAGTTCCTGGCTCCTGGCTTTGACCTGGCTCAGCCCTGGTTATTATGCCCATTTGGAAAGTGAGTCAGTGAATAAAAGATTTTCTCTGTCTCTCTCTCTCTCTCCCCCTCCCTCTCCCTCTCTCTCCCCCTTTCTCTCTCTTCCAGGCTTTTACCTAGCCCAGCCTTGTTTTTTGCAGATATTTAGGGAGTAGATAGGAAATTTCTATCTCTATCTGTACTGCTATTTCTTTGCTTTTCAAACAATGAAATGTAAATAAATAAACTTAACAAAAGTTTTAGAAAAGCAACAAAAGTTGATTACTCAAGGAAATGGTATTATCACAGGATTATCGCAAGTGAGGAAGAAAAAGTATTTTGAGTCATTTGACTCATGAGAGAAGTGGTGAAGCTGTGTGATGTTTTATTACAAAGCAAGAAGTGGGGCCAGCACTGTGTGCATATCTGAGTGCTAGTTCCAGCACTGGCTATTCCACTTCTGACTTAGCTTCCTGCTAATGTGCCTGGGAAGGCTGTGGGAAATGGGCCAAATGCCTGGACCCCTGTGACCGATCAGAAAGACCAGCATGGAGTTCTAGCTCCTGCCCTGGATCTGACACAGCCTGGCTGCTGAGGTCAACTGGGGTGTGAACCAACTCACAGAAGACTTCCCCCCTCCGTCCATCCATGCTACCCTGTGTGTGTGTGCAACTGTCTCTGTGTCTTACAAGTTAATTCATTAATTAATTTAAACGTAGAACTGTACTCTCCATCATAAAGGGTAATTTCAACCTATCTGCCACTCTACACAGAGCTGATATACTAACCATCTTATTATTGAAGATACACTTTTGAAGGTCTCAGTTTGACTGTTTCTACATCTCTTAAAAATATTTTGGCACTTATTAAAATAAAAGAATAACTCTTCTCACAAGAAATGGATTCAGAAAGGCTGAGAAAACCTCCATACAGACAGGAAAACATAAAAATATTTGAAAGTGAATCATTGTTATTTATTCTCCATGTACTCAGTCAAGGGTTTCTGGAAATATTCCCCACCTCCTCACAGGTTTCTAGACTCCTCTCCTGCTGTTTCCACTACTAATGATCTTAATACATATTTTTTATTTTCTTAATATCATTTTATATTGTTCTATTCAAATATGGACAATATAAGCAAAATAGAAACAAAATCTCCCATTGATAGTAATTGAAAAATGTGATGCAGAAAAATCCAAATCTAGTAATTCTTCATCTAGCAAGGAGTGTGCACTGCTTTGTGTTCGATGAGTAATAACACAGAAATTATGCTGAACATAAAATATAAAAGTCAAGAACAGCCTGTGGCTATCCTTGATTTATTCAAAAGTTTTGGAAAACAAAGATTTATTTGTATTATATTGAATTCTGCTCCAGATAATACATCTTCATTTTATTCCACTGATTTATTTTGCATACACCCAGCTGTATTTGGGCTTCCACACCCCGATATTTTCCTTACAAATATTGTACTTTTGTAGCACCTTTGTATGTCCAACTGAGAATTCATTTGTTTTTGCTCAAACTGATGGAGACGCCCATGAACAACTTACCCTAGTGTGTGTGCAGTCTGTTTCTACTTCCCCACTCGGCTCTTGCATCTAGCTGCAGCTCTGTCCATACACTGGGCGCTAGAATCAGATTTCACAGGTTGATGTACTGATGATGGACACCCCACTTGGTCAACTCTTCCCTGGGCTTCACACATACATATCCTGCTCTAACTGTTTTGTTAAACAGAGGCCTGCAGTGAACACGTTTATAACCAGATTCTTCAACCTGACTCCTACCTCACCTTATCTTAGGGCACAGTTCTATGTCTGAGAGACTAATCTATTTTAAATGATGTTTCAGACTATTTTAATCCACACATGTAGAGCAAAAAGTTCATTACAATCAAATCAGAGTACTTCCTACTGTTTTTTTTTTCCCCCAGGGAGTATATTGATAGACATACTAAACCGTATGATTCATGAGAGAATAAGAAAATGTATGAGATATATAAAATAACAGAACTTCTTGCAGTGCTTATAGGGAAATTTATCACAGTGAATGTCTGTACTTAAAAAGACAAAAGTTCTCAATAATCTACCTTTTCATTCTAAGAATCAGAAAGATAAATTTACGTTGAATACACGACAAAGGGAAAGAATAATGATTAGAAAGAAAAAAGAAGATAAATAAGAGAAAAGCCTTAAAACTCAACAAAATTAAAAGTTAGATATTTGAAAATGGCAACAAAATTGATAAACTTTTGCTAAACTGATGAGAGAAAGAGACAGAGGCATACATACACACATACATCAGGAAAATAAAAAGACAACCCAGAACATAGGAGGAAATATTAAGATATAATACAGTTGATACAGGACTGGAGTTAAGAATACAAACAGTGCTCTTTTGATTCAATATTTAAATGTAGAAATGTTTGAATTACTTTAGACATTTGTCCAAAAAGGATATACAATGGGCAGTTAGAAAATAAAAAAGATACCCACCATTATCAGTTCTTAGGAAAATGTAAATCAAAATCCCCACATACACCTTCACACCCACTTTTATAGCTGTGGTGAAAAGGACAGAACACAACAAGAACTGGTGAGGGTATGGTGTGGTTGGAGCTGTCCTTCGTGACTGGTGGGAATACTGCATGGTGCGTTCATTTTGGAAATCATTTTGGCAGCTCCTTAAAATGTTAGTTTTAAGAATTATTATTAATGATTCCTCACTTTGGCATATATTGAAAAGAACTGAAAACGCACAGGCAAACATAGATGTTCACAGAAGCATCATTCACACTGGCCTGAAAGTGAAACATTCCAAATGTCCATCAAAAGTGAAGGATGAAGGAAGGGCAGTGTTTGGGTGCCATCGACACAAAACACAGACAGGTAAGCTAGAAGGACAAACAATGACTAGAACAATCTATAGGGGTAAATGGCCTGGGTTAGTCTGCGAATAATAGGGAGCGGCTGCTAATGGGCTCTCAGTTTCTTCTTGGAGTAACGGAAATATCTTCAACTTAGACTGTGATGAGGTTACACAAATTTGAATATACTAAAAATCAATGGATCGTGACAAAAATGCCAGTGAGTTATTTTTAAAAGGCGTTTTAACAGTATATTGATCTTCAGTTTTTTTTTCCAGAGGAAAAAAATCTATAATTACAGATTTTTCCTCTTCATGATTTAATCATTAAGTTGAAACCTAAGCATTTGATAACAGTGATACTGGTAAAAATGCATACTTTTGTGAAGCTGTCCTGCATTTACTTGTGGCTTTTAATTCTGAAGTATTTTTAACCTGGCTTCAAATAGGTAAATGTGATTTTTTTTTTTTTATTGCATTGACTGCTCAGTACCTCTTAAACTAGTACATCCCAAAGCTACCGCCCCAGCTCAGTTCAGATCCACATATTAAAGTCTGTCATCATGCACATAAACGTCAGAACCCCTCACAGGGGTTTTCAAAGTCTTTTACAGAATGAGTTTTAGTTCTCTAAACATAGTTCATGTGAAATAAACCTTCAGATACTTTACATGAAAATTACATATTCCGAAATTTCACTTTGTGGTTCTGCTTACTACCCAAGCTGACAATTGTAGTGCTTTATGGTTTTGTGTTCACTGTAATATAATTATCAACTGAATATCAAATGGAACAAATTAGAATGATTTGTTTTGTTACTGATGAAGTAAAACAAACAAGTGTTAACACAAGTTCCCACTGTACTACTGCTTTGGAAACCACTGCAGTTTATTATTTTGAGATGGCAGAGGATGTGTGCTATTTTATTTTTCCCAGAAGATCTCTCATAATATAAGTGACACTGTACCATGTACCTTCCCACACCGCACTCAGAACAGTAACAGGACTCGCTGACGAAGCAGCATCTTCAGGTGCACCAACGACTCACCTTTGTCTTGGCAGGCTGATGAGCGGCTGTTTATGACACCTCTTGCTAAGGCTAAAGAGCTTGTGGACAATCTTCTGTGCCTTTAGGAACAGTTGTTTCATGCTGTTCTCCAGTTGTTCATAACGGCGCTGAAAATTAGAATCCATTGTCCACAAATGCATTAGAGTGGATGTGTTCAGGAAGTAATTCACAGGTAGCCTTTTCATAAAGAACTTGAATTCATCTGAAAAATGTAAAAAATAGGTATTTTAATTATAAACAATTGTTTTTTTCCAAAACATTTATTAAAATTAAAAACAAATAAATACAATTAATTGTTTGTTATTGGCAAATTAATAGAAGGTGAGATTTTGGAATCATTTAGGAGTGTTTCCTTTTGTGCTTCCCTTAAAATAGAACTTACATACAAGAAAACAATTAAATAGTTTTTGTAAAAGCAAGTAGTTTGGGTAGACCATTTAAATGACTTAATTTCTCCATGTCTCTTCCTAATGACATTTGAATTAGCTTTCTTTGACAAGTAGAGGTCATCACTCTAGCTTTCATCTTTGGAATCAGTATTAATAATCCTCTAATAGTATTGTATATTAAGTATTTTCAGAAGTTTTTATTAACACATAAGATCAATACTAAATGATTTTATTATTTAAAGGAAACAAGCAATCTATTTAAATGGAAAAATTTAATATTCAACTAATCACTCTCATTAGTCCTCTGTCATATTCATAATATACCAGTTTAAAATTTGAGTGCATAATAGAAAAAAAAAATTAAAGAAACAATATCAGCTTTTGTCATGCTGCATGCAATATTTGTCATGCTGTAAATTGCTTTCTTTTCAAATATCTAACCAACCAAAATCAATCATAATCAATGTATATATTATCTAAAAATGAAGGATAATTGAGACACTAGTCAATAGTTGTGGATAAAAGCAAACTGCCCATCAGAAGAAAAATGGACATATAAAATGTGGTCCATACCCTAATACAATATTCATTGGATATAAAATGTATGAGTTCTCAATCATGATACAACATAGGTGAACCTGGAACACAATATGTTCACTGAAAGTAACCAAATATCAGAGGACAAATACTGTATGATTTTGTGGTAGGAAATAATGAGACTAGTCAAATTTCTAGAGACACAAAGCAGATGAGAATTCACCACAGTTAAGTGGAATGTAAGATACTGCACAATCGTCACAGAATTACTGTTGCAGATGATGCACTTTTGGAGAGGATTTCAGTGATGGGTGTGCAACAATGTGCATGTAATGAAATCTACTGCATTGTAGGTTCCAAGGTAAGCATAATGAAAAATCCTCTTATATATTTTATTACAGACAGAAAAACATTTTTTAACCTTTTCTCTCACTTCCCCTCAACTTCTAAAGTGACTACTACAAACAAGCACTAAAGTATTTGCAAGATTTATTGTGTTAAAAACATCATGTTGCAGACATTGCCATATACTACATTGTTGGGGTCATCCTCCAGCATGTGCAACCACACATCACAGACTGCAAATACATCATGCAGACCTGAGGAGGATAAACAATGCTTTGTTTTCAATGCTGTTCTGTACATAGGAAGTTCTGAGTCTGCAGTGAACCTCACCATCTCTGCACCCTGATGTCCAACGTAAATGAGCAAGTACCAGATGATGACACATCCTTTAATTTTAAATTCTACCATGCTATCAGCTGTTTTTTCCCTTTTTTAAAGATTTTATTTATTTATTTGAGAGGCAGAGTTAGAGAGAGAGAGAGAGAGAGGGAGGGAGAGAGGGAGGGAGGGAGGGAGGGAGAGGGAGAGAGAGAGAGAGAGAGAGAGAGAGAGATCTTCCACTTGCTGGTTCACTCCCCAAATGGTTGCCAACAGCATGAGGTGGATCTATCTGAAGCCAGGAACCAGGGGCTTCTTCTGGGTCTCCCATTTGGGTGCAGGGGCCCAAGCATTTGAGCCATCTTCCACTGCTTTCCCAGGTGAATTAGCAAAGGGCTGGATTGGAAGTGGAGCAAATGGGAATTGAACTGGCACCCTTATGGGATGCGGGCACTGCAGGTGGAGACTTAGCCCACTACGTCATAGTGCTGGCCCCTATCAGCCGTTTTAAATGCCCATTTAGTTGTTTTCAAATATAGGGTTTAGAAACAGTTGTTTTCACATATTCAGGGAGAGTTATAATATTGATATTCAAATAAACTTGGATAAGAGTTTTCAAAACCTGTCTATTATACACATGCATTATATGTAGCAGGGCTTTATTTGTATTTCTTTAATTAATTTTTATTTATTTTAGAGGGAGAAGGAAAGGGGGAGGGAGAAGGAGAGAGAGAAAAAGAGAGAGAGATAGAGATAGAGATAGAGATAGAGAGAGAGAGAGAAAGAGAGAAAGAAAGAGAGAAAGAGAGAAAGAGAAAGAGAAAGAGAAAGAGAGGGATTTTATATCTACTGATGCAGAAGGGACCCAAATGTTGAGCCTTCAGCTGCTGCCTCCCAGGGGTGGGTTAGCAGGACACTGGTATCTGAAGCAGAAGCTGAACTCAAAACTAGGTACTCAAATGGGATGTGTTCAACCCAAGCCACATCTTAACAACTGTACAAATTCCCACCACTATATCACTGTTTCATTCACCAAAGTATCATTCAAACCTCTAAAACTATGTCATAGACAGGGTCACACCAATACCTTCATATTTATTTTATATAAAGGAAGTATTTTAGTAATCATAGCCAAGCTATTTTTTCATCTGTGCTTAGAAATGCATTTTTAAACAATTTACAGCAAATTATATTCATGAAAACTGGGACTACTTTTTTTCCAGATCAAATAAATATACAGAGTTCTGTCATCTTTTTGTCACAGAGAATATGCACCTTTTTCTAAGAAACAAGGAAAAATAGGAGGAAAGAGAAGTATTTTTTAGCTAAAAATGGGAAAATAATTTAGAGCGTGTATGCATCTGATATGTTTCAAATCATTTTTAAAGCAAGCAGAAGATAAATAAGAGATGCATTTTACGATTCCAATTTGACAGTATCCTACATTTTGTTTTGTCCCATATGTCTCTTTTGAGAAATCCCCTCCTTTGAATAAAGAGCTGATGTGTGGAAATTGGAAAGCGTTGTGTGGATTATTCACAGAGCAGATGCCGCTGCTTTCAAAACTAATCATTCATTTCATTGCCATCTTTTACTTGAACCATTTTGATAAGCCTTATTGTATCGTGGCTGTGCATATTTTAATTATGTTCATTGTTTGTTATAACAATATTGGGGAAAGTTCTGAATCTATGAATTTTTATCCAGATTAAAAAGTATTTTAGAGTAGAAGTTATTTTACCTAAGCGTATATGGTGGTAGATGTTAGTTGAAAACTGCTGCCATCTACTTTTAAGAAGCGGGTTTCAACATGACACTTGAGTAATTACTTCATTACGGAATCATTAGGAGTCACTACTGACAGTCACCCACAATGTTTACTGAACACCTGTTGGGCCCAGAACATACAGCCGTTTCTGTCTGTGACAGCAAGAATAATAAACCTTCTATCTCATTTTAAAAAAATAACTGACATACAATAGTTTCAAATGATAAAATAACACATTCAGGATCTGAAAATTATCCTATTTAGAAGTTAATAGAATCTGCAGAAAAATTCTATGTGGATTTTTTTCCCTTAATTTTTGTCAATTAGTAAAACCATATTTATTGAATATATAGGTGAAATTTGAATGGCACACTGGAATTTCATGTTAGTGATTTATGTAACTACTGAGATAAATACAAGAATTAAGGATGCCAGATAATATTTTATCTTACAGTGATATCCAAGGGTACTTAGAATAGCAAGTACTACCTGCTCCTCAAGAAGCAGATAAACAATGAGAAGTCATATTTTAGGAGTGTATTTATGGATCTGTAGAAGGGAATAAATCAATGCCATGTAAAATCACCCAAAAAACTAAATTTGATACGTAGATTATTAGAGAGACATTCCAGAAATACCTGGTGTGTTACCTATGTATGAAGTTAGTGCTTTGGCACAGCACAGTCCTGAGGACTACAGAGCATCAATAATTATGAAAACACAATGTGTGCAGGGAGGGATCTATAGCCAGTCACAGCCTTCTTAATGTGACCAACTCACATGAAATGCAGAATGAAACAAAGGGAGATGTATCACAACAGTAGATTCCATGAAGGCAGAGACTATTAGCCTAGGCGGCAACTCTTCAATAAGCTCTGAATGAGTAGCTGGGCATCAGGCTATCCCTAAGGACTTCAACTACTTTTCATCAGAAGTAAGTGCTTTCTGAATTCTGCTATTTTTTTTTTTTTTTTTTTTTTTTTGCTGATTTGATGCAATTCCATTTGTTGAGTTTTAGTTTTAGCTTTTGTTTCCAGCACTTTGGGGGTCTTATCAAAAAAAAAAAAAAAAATGAAAGAATCATTGCCTACATCAACATCTTAAAATATTTTCCTTGTGTTTTATTCTAGAAACCTCAAGTTTTCAGTTTTTACATTTAGGTACCTGACCCATTGACCCATCTTGAGTTGAATTTTGCACATGGTGAGGTAGGAACCTAAATTCATTTGCTACATATATACCTCTGACGGAATGGAAGAAAGTATTTCCAAGCTAAGGAACTCAGACATAATAAAAAATAACAAGAATAAAACAAAATAAAACCAGTTAACCATGAACAAAGGATGCCAGTGTTGTAGAACAGTGGACTAGGCTATCAATTGTGATGCTATCGTCCCATTCAGAATGCAGGTTTGAGTTTGTTACTCCACTTTGACTCCAGCTCTTTGTCAATGCACCTGGGAAGGCAGCAGATGATGGCCTAATTGTTTGGGTCCTGCCCACCATGGGGGAGATCTGGAGATATGGATGGAGCTATGGGCTCTTGTTTTTTGCTTAGTCCAGACTGGCAGTAGCATCTCTCTCTCTCTCCCTCTCTCTTTCTCTCTCTCTCTCTCTCTCTCTCTCTCTCATTCTCTCTCTTTCTCTCTCTCTCTCTCTCAATCTCTTTCTCTTCTTCCCTCCCTCCCTCTCTTCCTTCTTCTCTCTCTGTGTGTGTGAGTCTTCCTTTTTATTTATTTTTTTGACAGCCAGAGTTAGACAGTGAGAAAGAAAGAGAGAAAGGTCTTCCTTCCATTGGTTCACCCCCCAAACGGCCGCTACGGCCAGCGTGCTGCGCCAATCTGA